GAGCTATAAAGACGTTTACAGCCTAAATTATGACCAAATAATTGGCATTTTGGCGGTCAACGGGAGGGAGGGGTGGAGGGGTAATTTGCTTATAGGCTCAAGCTCCGGTAACTTAAAAAGCCAAGTTATGCGTACGCTCCCAAGGCCGCGGAAATATTTTACCCCAATCGAGGACGTTAAACAGGCGATAACGGTTTTCGTAAAAGACCCGGATGCATACCCACGTCTGTGACGATAACATAACAGGTAGGGTAGGTACATGTGCACAATGATACAATAGGTCCCCTCAGCCCGCATTCAATATAATCGTATACAATTTTTATGTACGGACGTATTGTGTACCCACTCTCCTGTACTATGGCGGCGATTTTAGACCGCGACGCGCCCAAGGGAAACAGGTAAACACAAAACCACGTACGCGAACTGCACCCGAATAAAATTTTAAAAATTTCACAGTCCCATACTTGTGCAGAATGAAACAAACAAAACAACTACAAAATTGTTTTTGAAGGCTTTGATCGCCTCCTAATGATTCATATGGTTGTGATTCACATTTTGTTCTGTTACTACGTTGTCATCGCTTAACGGTTGTACAAATACTTTGCAAGTTTTCACTGTACACCGGTACTTAACTTCACCCGCATTCAGGGGTACGTTAATTTTGTGAAACTTCAAATTCAAAATTGTTTTAATAGCACTCACGTACAAATCGATGATATGTTACCAATAAAATGATTCCAGTGTAAAAACACACTGGTATAAATCTAATTTGGCACATCCTTACGGTTTTTCAAATTGTAGACGCTAAATACGATGGTTTAAACCAACTTTGCAGAGCGGATACTTGATTTTAAAATTAAAGGACTTAGAAATTGGATATTATAACATAATGTGATACTGAAAAATATCAGTTAACTATCACGAAGTTTTCTCGCTTTTATTCAAACTTATATACAATTACTAGACAAAAACAGTGCAATGAAAATTTAGCGGTTAGTTTTAGTTATTAAATTATCAGCATTTTAAATTGCATAGTATAAGGTACAGTGCTTATAATAATCCTTGTGGTATCATGGAGTTTAAGTAGTTTGCTGCAAAATTACGTGAACTGTTCGGCCATCGTGACTGAACTTGTATTGTTAAATCGATAGGATATGGGTAATAGCAGACCGATGCCGCATAATATTAGTGATAGATAACCTACTATATGCAATGATCATAATTCATAATATTTGATAAAGGGTTGGTAGGTATGTTCCACGTATTAAGGTGTACTTAAAAGACATCTTAATTCGTGCAACGTTAACAAATGTGAAAAACCGGGATAAAACATGGAAAGACGTAGGAAAACTGGGAAAATCGGTACAACATTAAACAAATATCATTAAAGCAAATATATAAAGTCTATTTAATTATTTTATTATAAAATGGCATGTATATTATTGACTAAACATCACTATCAACCGAACTCCGCTCAGAATAGTTTTTTCGAAAGCAACGGTTTATTGTTGCTTACAGGGGTACATTGAATTATCTATAGCAATGGCTGCACCCGTCCCTATTATCCCAGGACGTCGTTTTATAAATATATGTATTACACTTTGCAGTTTTATCTTAGTTTTTGTGTAATATACAGATTATGCTTTCAGTATGTACTCATGTCGTATATTTAGAGTGCACGAATGGTTTTTCTGCACGACTACATTAAATGCGTCCCGATTACTTGGTATCAGTAATTACGATTATCTGAATCGATGAAACTAATGAAATAAATTTATACGGTTAGTATGTGTGTCGATTGTGCGCCGTTGACCGTTGTTCGCTGTTCTTTTTGTGTTTCCTAAAAGTTTAAAACATAAGTTTGATTTTGAGCGAAGTAATGAACAGTGAAAAAAACGAAACATTACTTTGCGAGGACGATTATAAATTTCGTTTTCAAAAATTATTGAAGAAAACGATGTACAGCGGTGGATGAGTTGTAAAAACCATGTAAGTCATGCTTTAAGTTAAGCGATAAAAATGTAACATTAGACACCCCTGGTGAGCACGACCGTGTGAGCGATTCTGTTGACGTACTCAATCGACAGAATTTAAGCAGCAATTTAAAGCGCCGGGCAATGGACGATCATCGTATGATAAATAGTGGTTAAATACGACGTATTGTCGGGACGACGCAATAATCCGTATAATCGTTAAATATTATCGGGACGTGTAGTCAGGATAGTTAATCATGGCGGAGACTCGTTCACGCACGTATTAATATAATTCTTTTATATTTATGACAACTCGTATGCGCCCAAAATCGTGAACAATGGAATAATGGAAACCTGATTTATGGGTACAGTTTTGGGTGTACATAATAGATATCTTAAAGCATAACGATTATTTTCAACTGTGGTTTCCCATCACTCATCAATTCTCATCTATCAGTAATACCTACGTTATAATTGCTATATTTCTAATCTAACGCCGTTTTTGTCAAATTATCCCGCTGGTAATTGTAATTGTGATACTCAATATTATATATTTTAGTCTGGCCTCCGTCCTCCGATCGGAGCGTAGATAATATCAATGTACGCTATTTGTTTAACACATTTCGAGACTATAGGTAATTCAAAAATGGAATCTAATGCATTTGCATATTTTTTTATTTTTCAGTAGTTAGCATATTTTGCCTGTTCTTAGTGAATAAATACATGCATATCTAACACTTTTTTAATTTGGAGGTATTTACATCCTATACGTGGTTAAATTTCTTTGGAAAAAAGTTTTTTATTTTTCGCAAATGAGTTGTAAAAAAGAGAAATGTGTACAATTGAGTTGTAGCCTTAAATAATATCGGCACGCAGTTCGTATGAAAAAGGGATCTTGGGACCCTCAATTCGTTTGTTGCGCGACAGCCGACACTCATCGCATTGTGTGGCCCGAACAGTTGCAGTACATTCCTCATTGTGAGGTTCTTCTACCCCAGTGTTTCTCAACTTGGGGGTTGTCAAATAATAATTTAAGGTCACTACGAATATAAAATATTGGGTTGCATTGCAATGGTGTATCCGTGTGGTTGGTGGGCGAAGGGGGATCAAGACACCTCCCCTTGAACCGTTACATTTCACATTGCTTCGAGAATTAAAACATAAAATTATTATTTTCATTCATTCCTTCTGGTCTAATATATCAGCCACGTTTGATTAAGCCGAATATCGTATGTACCTACTAAAAAAGCAGACGTGTCCTTTGCGGGATGCAAAGATATGCAAATGTATCTCACAAATTTCTTTTAAAACATTTAAAATACCTATGTAGATGCAGATAATTCCATAGAATTTTCAGAATAATACAATAAATTNAACGATAATCGTACAGGTAGATATGAAACTGAAGTTTTTAATATCTTTATTGATAAGCATCGATTTCGTTATTGCCAATTTTTTTTTAACCTAATTTAATTTGATTAGTATCGGAAGATATAAGCACAGCACAAATAATATAATACAATATTTATTAGTTATATATTTTGAAATAGTGAATTTTTTTAAAAAAATTTAATATTCTATACCTATACACTGTTGAGCGTAGTTTGTATTAACAGTATTAATAAGTAACTACCTACCTACTTTCCTTCATATCCTATTCATATTTGTTTATTTAAAATATTCTATTAAAGTATACTGAAATAGGTTTTTAAATATTGTAGGTATTAGATATCAATATTAAGATAATTTTGTCCTTCATGAGGCTTTACTATTGATTTGTCAATATGCGTTTTACATCTCGTCAAAACATTTGAAATGATACCCTTGCTAAAAAGTCAAAGCGACAACTGTTTCCTAACCTCAAATGAGTCAAACGTCATTTGTTAAAACATCACCTTTTTGCCAGTTGTATGACTTAAGAAGGGTTGTTCTTAAAATTAAAATATATTTTTTATAATTCGATTAAATAATTGTTGATGGAAATATAAATATTAGAACTCTTATTATCAATTGTTGTATTACTAATTTTAAATATCTGATTTAAAATATTATCATTACTGCATCGCAAACAATTGTATTCATCATTATAATCACTGAAAAGAGTTGATCGCAAAATGCAAACCGAGACCTTCAATGCTATTTACATGTTTATCTGACGATAATACATCTTCACGTCACAAACGATTTTGTAGGTACTTAACATTTTTAGCCGTTTTTTCTTTATCAACACTGGAGGTGTAACGATTATTCGATGTCTTCTTGTCAAATGCAGTTGTTTTGTCTTTTTAAAAACTATATAGTTATTGTTTTTATGTAGGTATATAATTAAATATTTGTAATAGTTAACACCCTCCCTCCACCTACCTTACACAAATCCTAGTTACGCCACCGTAATGCCGTGTGTAATATATATATATATATTTAGGGGAACCTATAAAATCGAAAAAATTCGTTCAATGGTTCGCGACAGTAAAAACGTTGAGAAACACTGTACCACTCCATTGCGTGTTCGTCTCCTATTTACCGGCTGGCCGAGTAAACAGAACGCGCGTACGATCCGAAGCGCGGCATCCGAGGACCGCCGACCGAGTAACAATCGATACGATTGTCGGAAACCGGTTTTTCTGAAATGAATGCACGCACACTAAAACGGCACGAATANATTTAGTTTAAAAATGTATGTAATTCATTAAATAATTAATATGGAACAAAAAAATGTATAATATTCCTTAGGAATGTGTGGATAAAACCAACGAACGAAACGAACGGTTTTTCTGAAATGAACGCACTCACACTAAAACGGCACGAATACGATTTAACGTGTTCCTATTGAAATATTTGTCAGCGTTTAAAGACGCCGTCGTCACTCGTCCCCCGGCCACGTGTAGTGCGGAGTTGCGTTCCCTCGTCCGCACACCACTCCAACGCCAGCGATAGCGGCTGTGTGTTCGATCCACCACCTAGATACCCCACTTACCGTAGTAATAATAAACATTTGGATTGGTTTCCTTCCAATAATATTTCCAATAATTATCAATATTTATAATAACTGTAAAGCGGCGTATTTATTTTTTGTACACATCATTTATTATACTATATATTATTATATACATATTTATTATATGCATTTACTAGCTGTACTGGCCAGCCTTGCCCATGCTAATTTGTATTTATTTATTTTTACCTATATTCCTTTTTGGTTTTGACCGTGTCAGTAATGAATAAAAATAAATAGGTGGAAAGTGGGTGGGCTAAAAGTAATCTCTTATGGCATATATTTTAAAATTTAAAATTTTACTATTTGCCTTAAGCATTAAATATTTCTGGATACACCACGTTAAATGTTTCACCTTTTGGGGCCAGCACGAATACATTTTTTTTGCGTGTGACACGTGATAAAGCCACGCACAATTGATCATGGGAAAAACATTGGACGGTTAAGTCTAAACCTGCAACATTTAATGTTTGACCTTGTGCCATATTGATTGTCATTGAAAAACATAGTTTTACGGGAAATTGGAGCTGTTTAAATTGGAATGGTCAATTTGTTGGTATCATTGGTATTCTAAAAACCAAGACCGTTTTCCCAGCTCCACAGCCAGTAAGAATCATACACTTAAACAGATAGTTTTTAAAGATTTTATATGAAACAACTTAAATAAGGAATAATAATAATAAATTAAATACTTAAAATGGAAGTAGGGGACGTCGGAGCACGTTGTACCTAAACTACAAGGAGAAGGGAACAACAGGGCTACTACTAATGGAACAGTATATACATCGTTAGTATTTTTATCTAAATGCACATTCATTAAAATTTGACCTATAAAAAAAAATTACTTTCATTATGTTGAACTGGTTTTTTCCAATAATTGCAACTTATGATAAACCTTGTGATAAATGTTCGAACAATTTAGCTGGGCTAAAATAATTTGAATCACAAGAACCAAATAAATTCTCGAACATTTTAAATAGCTTTTAATATCTAAAAGTTATCAGAATGTTTTGAAAATTGTACCATGTTTGAAAAGAGTTGTATGTATGAGACTGTACATAATACATATATTAGTACTCACTGAAATGTCCATCCTCTGTGATTAAGTTTTATTAAATTAACAAAATAGACTATAAACAGAAATTGTTATTATGTAAATGTAACAGTTGTAAACGTTTTCCTGACATTTTTTCTAGGATTATGTCTATAATTAAGAATACTACGTACAAAGAAAATCAAAAAATAACCAAAGAGACAGTTAAACTCTAAAGTTAATGATAATCAAACAATAAAAAAAAAAAAATACACATGATAGTAAAATCTAAAATTTAACTTACAGCAGTGTTATTACTAATAATAACTTAACTAACTTTATGTAACTAGTTACTAATAACTTAAAATTCTTGTGTTTGATATATCTGTTAATATAAATCTAGATAAATATTTTGTTGTGGTTTAATATAGTATCTTCAGATATAATATTCATTGAATAATACACATTTTATCATTTATGTTATCTAAAAGTATCACATATTATACATTATGTCACATCAATTTTTCTTTGGTTTTTTTTTTTTAATAGGTTTCTAAATTATAATTAGATATTCTATATTTATATCAAGTGATATAACATATTTTGCCACTTTATTTTCATTTCAACATTTATTCTAATAATTAGG